ACGGTCGGAACCCTTAACATGGACAATAGTACCTACACTGAAGCTGAAGTAAACCCAATCTTGACATGCGAACCTTAGTTTTCTTACCACTCACTCGCTCACAAAAATGAAGTTGAATTTTTTTTGTTTCTTAATACAGTCGCGCTTAGAAAGTAATGTCACTTGCTACCTTTGAGAACATTTCAGAGGCAGGTTAAACAATCTTAACTTACAATTAACTAGAAAAAATTAAATTTCCTTAATCGAAGTAACTCAAACCTACCTAAGTTCAGGAATAACATTATCCGCCTATTACTCGAGTCAATGAAGTCTATGATACAGTTGATAATGTCGGCCTTATACTAGCGAGTCTCTTTCCTTCAAAGCCCCTTCTTAATTCAATTCTATTCTTATATAGCGCGTCAACTGTTTCCTTTTTTCGGAGCCCATAAGAGGTTACCATGTTTCTTTCAACATTACATGACCCCACACGTTTTCTATTTCCCACAGCTGGTACTCCAAAAAATAGTTCCTCTCAGAGTTGAAACATTTCCGTTTATACTGACCACTGACGGAGTCCTTGCCTCAAAATCACATTTTGGTGCATTGGCCGTCGCCCACACGAAGATAAATCAGAATCTTTCATAGAAACTTTCTACCTAAGCCTTGTAAAGCGAATCACTCGAATAATGTTATCGTCCACTCTTCAACGCCACAAAGTTCGACGAAAATGATAAGAGGCTTATTTTAGCTAACTATGGATCTTCTATCAGCGATCTTAGGCAAATATTATATAACATAGACCAAATGGGAGATCATTTTATATTTAAAGAGAGAATGCACAATTTTAGATGGGAACACCCACTTATGTTTGGTCTGAAAACGCTAGGATTAGGTGACTTTTTCTTTGCTAATTTTAAGGATGGCTCTGCCACCGGGCATTTGAGTAGATTTCTAGAGAGTAAATATGTATATATGTCAGCATGAAGCAAGACCAATTTTCACAGCAACTTTCCAACAACAAATGCACAAACTAAATGCTATAAACACATTTTTCGCTCTTTCCCTTCCCCTCCCGACGCGCTTAATATCTTCTATACACTCGCCGTGTCACTACGGCTTTCTATATACAGGACCACCATTTGGTTTGGATGTATACGCTAACAATAATAACAACAACTCGAATATTAATAATAAACAACAGAACAGCAGCAGCAGTAAAAGCAACAACAATTACAACAACCACTTGAACAAACCCACCACAGTGACAATTGGTCACGTACCAGCATATGTCAGCTCCGGCTCTCTCTCTGTCTCTGTCTCTGGCTCTGGCTCCGGCTCTGGTTCCGGCTCTGGCTTTGGCGATGGTGACGACAGCAACGGCCACGAGCATGGCAATGGCAGTGACAACAATATTTACACTAACAACATTTATAACGCCAATGACAGCCGTAGCCGGAGCGGTGTTGGTGGCAACCACAGCACGAAATTTGATGCACCAACGAAATTAGCTACAGCAACAGTAAAAACAGCAATAGCAATGACAACAATAACAGCAACAAAGGCGACCGAAATCACAAGAACAACTGCAACGCCACCAACAACAATACAAACTGGCCGCGGTGGCATTGGCACAGCAGGCGTGTCAAGAGCGCTCATGTCGCTGACAGCAGCGGCGAATGTCCGCGAAACCACAAAACCGCCAGCAGTTTCAGGTAAATTTAATTTGCACCCACAGCGTGTCGACATAGCGGCGTCGCGGCAGCGGCAGCGGCAGTGGGGTGGGTGATGGCGGCAGCTATGGCGCACACACAGCCAGGACTTTGCCGAAGTAATAGCCACGGAAGCGCCTCTGCAACCGTTACACTTGAGCATGTTGCACTTGTAAGGGGATGTGTGTGGGTGTGTGTGTGTTTATTTAATGGTATTGCTTATGTTAGCTTGGCTCTCTTATGAATGATGCGTTGAATGCAGTTGTTGTAATAGCCTCACTGCCGCTGCTCGTCGGGTTTCTCTTCAATCCACTCTGGCTTTGAGTAGTTATGCACCTACGACGCTTCTCGCTACTCTGCGGCCCGCAAAGCACCTTATCTTCGCACAGTCTTATGCACTGCACCTGGCTTTTGCAAGCGCACAGCAACTTTTGCACAAATTTCTTAAGCTTTTCTGAATTATCTTCTTCTTCTTCTGCTTGTTCTTCTTACACTTCAATTGCACACTGCATATTTCTCCTTATTGTTCTTTTGTATATATTGCTTACGTTCATAAAATATGTTTGTTTTGATGTAAATATATATCGCCCATATACACTGTGAATATATATTATATAAATATTTTGCTTTTGCTTCTATTGTTTAAGAATTGAAATGAATTTTGTTCAAACAAAGCTCTTTGTCCTCGCTTTGATGAAAAATATGTGTTTACTAAGAATTAATTATTTAAAAAACAACAAAACTTTAGAATATTTTTGGTGTCTTTATGGCATAAATAAGTAATGCGAAGCAGCTACGGTTGCTCATTGTGTTTTGTCAGGGAAATAGGACCGAGGGGGAGAGTACTGAGTCTGAGTCGACAGGAATTAATTCACTAAAATCTTTGTGCAGAGTGCAGGTGTTGGTTTGCAACCCATACAAGCTCGTATCATGAACCATAATAAAATTCAATATATATATAATATCTAATTTGTTTAATATACGAGTAAGCAAAAGCTTTCAGAACCCTAAAGGCTGGAATTTAGTCTAGTTTAGTTTGTTCACCATAAAATTCAAAGAGATCGGATATACTGGGCCAATTTACCAATAAACGTCTCACGAATCTACGGCATAGAAAGTTCGATTTGGAGCTTTTCCCTACTGAAGAAAAACTTTTTAGATTTGACTTGTACTCTGGACAAATTCCAACATATTCCGTAGAAAATAGGATAATAAATGAAAGCTTGAAAAAATTACATTTTAGTAACCCTTCCCATGGTACGAAGCGACTTGAAGAACTCCGTCTTAGTGCTGATGGAGACGACAAATTCAAATTTCCGAAATAGATGCCTTCGAATCAGGTTTTCCCAGCACATTCTGCATAAGAGCAAGCATATATTAGTTCCTCAACTGCATATATGTATCTATATATATATTTTGGCGTACGTCTTCATATTTACCAACAAATTTAGACCAGGCCGCTTGAGAACAGTGGATAGCTTTTATGAACAGGATTTCTTTATGGCAGGAATACTCTCGAAGTGTTTGACATCCACAACCGTGGGACGACCGCCCATTAGAAGATTTAATATAAATTTGTTTATAAATGTATTTGCAATTAGTTTTGGATCTTGAACGAACCAGGACCCGAGCACTGGCATCCCAAGTGGCAGTATTATCTCCTAACCATGGATATCGCGGCCTCCGTAGTTGTTTAAATAACACCCCTCTCAGGCCAACGAATGTCTCTACATAGTAGCTCTTTACGCTTGGTTTCTATCGCCGATTTAATAGAGTCGGTAGGCACTCAAAGCGGACTGAGCGTAGCATGCGCTCCTTTCCATGCGATATATCAAGAGATTAAATTTAAAGAAAAACTATATGCCCTGATATTAGCCATTAATATTAACTTCGCTTGACGTATACCCCATCTAGGTGGGAAGAAGCCGGTTTCCGGCTGGAAGCATTGCTCTAAATCGAAATACTATAGACTTATTAGACTCACATCAAGTTCATCAATTCAAACCCATCATCTTAAACAGGTAACTCAAGTTAAAAAAAAGATTTTGAAAACATTGAAAGTTAAGCGCTCCGAATTGGGAATACCTGCAAAAGAGCTATTGCCGCAGAGGGTGCAACGAACCTGTCTACTTGGTACAAAAGCCTTCGAAGTAATCCTTGATGATACACCCATCAATTAACAAATTAACATGAAACAGCATCAACAGTTTGTCATCTAAAGGTTGGGTTCAGTCACCAAATTGTGAAGCACAAGACACAATAAACGTGAAATGCGATTCACAAACGGAAACCTCCTGATGTATAGATGCCACTTAGTACTTTCCTAGTAGGGAAAAGTGGACGGACGGTAACAGCGAAGATATTTAAACATATACTTACTGATGGGTTTTATTTTGAAACAGGCACAAGAGCTGGTATCTGCTATGACCACGCCAATAACCAAGGTAGCTTCAAACTTATCGATTAGATCATTTCAGAAACACCGAATGGGTAACCGCGACTAAAAAGAAAATCTGGTAGATTTCCGATAGACAGTCAAGCTGCAATTAAGGAAACTACGAATATGTGTTATAACACTGAAGTGCATTGCGTAAGAACATGTAAAGAGGCAACTTAAGACTATGGCATGACAAGACATTGAATATCACATGGGTCTCAGGTTACACGGATATGTTGTAGAAGACATTGAAAATGCGAATGAATTAGTTTGCGCTGCCGCTGTCTCAGACTTTTCAGCACTTTCAAAGATTGTCTTAGGCCGTGGTCCATGGGGAGCACTTAAGCAGCGCCTCCGAGTAAGCACTGAAGATGACGAAATGCTAGAGCACTACTTTAGCGAGTGTTGGGCTAAGCGGAGGGTACAACGAACATACCCTGTGTGTTAGATACGGCCACTTGTGATCAGGTCCTCAATCCCCCCACCTACAAAACAACGTGGAAGGATGGTTAATGAATTACATAGAAAAGAATTTTGAAAATGATAGAGTTTAGTCGATATGGTAGAAATATTGAGAGAACCTTTCTTCGAATTTTTTTCTAATTGTACATACATACGTATGTATATGTATTTGATAAATAGTCTGCACCAAAAATTTTATCAATCACGTATTTTCTCATCTCATTCCACTCTTCCCTCACTTTAAATTCTCGCACCAAACGCACAGAATATCTTTCATATTTCTTCGCATTAATTTCGCTTTATCTTACCCACCCACACGATGGAGCGCACGACCGACAACAAAAAAAATGTAATTAACCTCACTTTTGTATTTCTTCTCTATTTCTTTCCCACATACACATGCACACCAGGGTCTACAGGCCTACATTATCCATCAGCTGAAAATAATTACTCTACCAATTCGAATAGCATCTGCAGCAGTCTAGCCAGCGCACAGGATACGCTGTGGCGTGTGAAAATGGCTGCCGCACAACAGCAACACTCCGCGGCGGCGGCGGCGGCAGCAGCTGGTGCACCAATCTATATCGAACAACCATCTGCCGGTTCGATAACGTACGGCTCTTGTCTGGATCCGCTGACGCAATGCGTCGTCGACTATGTCGGATATACGGTGCCACCACCGCCGCACATAACACAAGCATCTGCGGCAGCGACCTCGACGGCGGTGGCAACGACGTCGTCAACAGCTGGCATTTGTGGTAGTCCACATGATTTTTCAAGTACCAACAGCGAATGCCAAAGTTCGTCTACACCAACGGTAGTAACAACAACAGCAACAGCAGTCAATGGTAGTTTGAGTGTTGTGAGCCAACATTCGACGTTGGGACGCGATGGGAGTAGTCAACAAAACCAGCAGCAGCAGCAGCAGCGGCGAGAATTTGTGGAGGAGCTGCAGCAACAGTTACATGAGCAACAGCAGCAACAACAACAGCTGTATCAGCATCAGCTGCTGCAGCAGCAACAGCAACAACAACTGCAGTCGCCACCACCGCCGCCACAACGTTTTGGCACATTGAAAAAAACGCGTCAGCAACAGCAACGGATGGAACAGCAGTTAGGTAAGTGAGCATAGATAGGAATATCTATATAATACACACATACATATAAATATATGCAAGTCGATTTGTAAGTGTTTGCGAGTCAATCTTAGTGAGATTTAAAGTAATGTTTAAATTGGCAATCGATAGAGACGCAAGTGTTGAGCTTGGCTGGCAGCCGGTGTGGCACTACATAATGAGGTGCGTTGGTGTCGAAGTTCAAGTTGCTGTTTTTTTTTTTTTGGTTTTGCTGATTCCTGGGACTCTTAATTGAAATCTTGTGTGCGCAGCAGTTAGTTTTCCAATCGGCAAGCAGGAAGCGTAAACTCTGCCGTAAGAAATATTAATTGGTTCTGCGAAAACTAGTAAACCATTTACGTTCAACCGTTAAAAAAAAACTTTTGAAATTCTGTAATTAAAGCTAATAAAAAATATCTTCTTATATTTTTTTAATTTAAATTATTTTATATTTTCGATTCAGGACAAATCACCGAAAAATCTCTAAAAAGAGAAGGCTAGCCATTAAATTCTTTTCTGATGGATAGAAACTATATTCAGGTATTTGCGAGGGGACAAGACTTGTGAGGCGCTCTGGCGATATATTCATGAACGAACGGGGATCTTCCGAAAGTTCGACGTGTCTTTCAAGAGGAAGTTCGTATTATGTCTTGATGAACTGAAGTGCGGAACTACGCTCTCTCTCCCTCTCTCTCTCTATAGACTGAGTAGCTATATTAAGAAAACCAATATCATAAATGGCAAAGAGGACTTAACTTGGTTTTGAGAAGTTCCGCTAATATTAGCAAATACAGGAATATCCTGATTTTGGCTTAAAAACACATGAAACGGATATATACAATGGTAGTTAGATCCTATTCATAAAAATTCATCAACTGGGTTAAAAAAATTTTGTCTAGGGGTAAACGCAACTATTGTAAAGATATCAATTTTTTATTATTTTGGATTTCTGAGGGATGAGGACTTTAACCCTGCCCTTGCAAATGGTACTACGGACTACCACTTGGCCGCCTATATATGTAATATTAGGTCAAGTACCAAGCTCGTTCGGTTTTTATCTAAGAGATGGCGTTAATGTCCATAGTACTAGTGTCACGTGTCGCATCATAACATACTATACGGCGCTGAAAACGTGATTATTCGCGCTAAAAGTTTGTTTTTAACAGTACTCCACTTGACCGCTTGAAGGCAGCACTCATCCAGAAGAGGCCATCTTTGATCAACAGAGGCCGAATTGTGTTCCATCTGGACAATGCCAGGCCACATACGACTTTGGTGACGACCCAGGAGCTCCAGAGGCTCGGATGCGAGGTCCTAATGCAACCATCTTATATTCCGGACCTGGCACCAAGCGATTACCATATATTCCTGTCCATGGCGAACGCGCTTAATGGTGAGAAGTTGGCCACAAGAGAGGCCTGTGAAAATTAGCTCTCCGAGTTTTTTGGCCATAGTGACGCAGCCGTCTCCAAATATATAAATATATAATAATACATGAGGGGCCTCTACCATGGACTCCCCAAAAGGCATTGAAAACCTTCCTCAGCTTTTTCCGCTTCGATCAAGCTGTAATGGAATTAGAAGCTGCATCCTCATCCGGCAGATAATGTGTATACCACATTCCTGTTTACTGGTTCTCACACATTTGGATTTCATTAAAAGCATCATCTTTAAGTCATAGTTATCGGCATAGAGTTAGGGTGATCACACAAGAGTCCCTTCATCTATATATTTACTAATGGTCTTCTGCACGTTCTCCCGAGCTATGTTCGCACCTCGTAGAAGGTTTTTTTTCTCAGTTTCATTGTACGTTCAATTCGTGTTCTATTTTCACTTTCTGTGTGCTGTCCTTTCATTCTGATTAAAAAAAAGTTTACCCAATCATAAAGGCCTTTTGGTTCTCAATTGTAAGCTCTGCTGTATACATATATCACTTCTATATTGATTGGCCTGATGTCGAGCGTAAGCCATGCCTTGGTCTTTGTTGAGGTACTTCTCATGGAATCTGCTATACCTGGTATAGTCGCATCAGGTCCGGAAGTTTCTTATGACACTTCTTCTTAATTATCACCGAGTTGGAGCGCAGTATGATATTTTTCTAAAAAGATGGATAAATCACTGCAAATCTTCTGTGGTTTTAATCGACGAAAAACTCGAAAGTGTTGTACAGAGACAGATACAACGATTTAGTTGGCAGATTGTGAGGACTATCTGGCGGGTATATAAAAACTTCCCTATCAAGTTCAGTCATCAAATGTTTATGCGGTTTGGCGTTGTCATGATGTCCAATTCTAGATGCTTTTTTGAAGAGATCGTCGCAAGCTGGTTAGAGCTCAGAATTAATGCAGTTTTTGAAGATTAGTGTGGCGAGTGTAACTGCCTGTCCTTGGTCGGATAAAAATAAAGGGTCCGGCTGCTGAGGGAGCTTTTGAATTTTACAATTTCACTTTTAATCCACTCAAAGTACTTACCGAGGTTTCAAGACCCAAGCTAACTCATGTAAGATCTAGAGAGGTGATCTAGTCATAGAAAACCAGGGTATACTGAATTTGTGGAGGGAACACTTCCTCAGCCTGCTGAATGGCAGCAATGCACCCGAGGACGGTGATCTCGTAACCACAGTCGATGATGATGGAAAAGTCACTTGACTATGACGAGGCTCTAATAGCGATTGCTCGTCTAAAAAACAACAAAGCGACGGACCAGCGGCAGATCTAATAAAACATGGCGGTGAAGAGCTGACAAGATATATGTTTTTGCCTCTTTGTAGAATATGGTTGGACGAAGGTATACCTGACGAAAACGGTCCCCTTTTCAGCCTACAGTGGGGTAAGCCTCCATAATATTTTCCATAAGTACTGTCGAGCGTATTGTGTGAAACATTAAATCCCACTGGACTTTAATGGCGCAGCGCTGTATTAATTTGGCATCCCAGTAAAACTTATTTGGCTGTTAAACTGACGCTGCATAGTACAGAGGCGTAGTCCAAATTAGGAAGAACATCTGCGAATCGTTTGATACCAAGCTTGGTTTCATACAAAGTGTTTCCTTATCATGTGACTTCTTCAATTTGATGCTGGAGAAAATAATACTAGCTGCAGAGCCATTATTGGCCTCAACAAACGCAACGGGAGCTTCTCCAGACTGGAAAACGAAGCAAAAGATATGGGTCTGGTAGTTAATATTTCCTGTCTTCACACAAATAGTCATCGGATTCGCAACTCGGTTCCCGCGTCACTGTTGACAATCTTAATTTCGAGGTCACAGATAACCTTGTCTATCTTAAGATTAATATCAACACCTGTCATAATATCAGCTTTGACATCCAACGTAGAATAACTCTTGCCAACAGATTCTAGTTTGGACTGAGTAGGCAATTGACCCGTCCTACTATATGGAGCAGAAACGCGGACGATGTCAACATCTAATGAGTCTATTTTGAGAATCTTGGAGATAAAAGTTTTGCGAACGATTTATAGTGCTTTTCGTATGGGCAACGGCGTTTACAACAAACGAAAGGACGATGAGCTGCATGGATTATACGGCGACATTGACGTAGTTTAGCGAATGAAGAGACAGCGGCTACGCTCGCTAGGTCATGCCACCCAAATGGATGAAAGCACTCTAGCTTTGAAAGTATTCAATGCAGTACCCGCTGGTGAAAGCAGACGAAGAGGAAGATCTCCATTCCCTTGGAAGGATCAGTGCGACCTGGTTTCGATTGGTAATTTCCACTGACGTCAAATAGCGAAAGGAAGGGATGACAAGCGCATTATAATTGATTAGGCTATAAACGAGTAAGCGGTGCATACGACAATAAAGAAAAAAAAACGGAAAAAATTTCAACAAACCGCATAATAATTGTTATAGTGATTTTCCGTTATTAAATCTTCCGCAAAATTCTAGAAAGCTTAAACCGCAAAAAACTAATCCCTCAAAATCCCTTAAATTCATTTAAGTGTGAATTTCAATCTGTAAATGTATTTAAAAGCTTTTGCAATCCACACAAGAGCACACACATACACGCACACACATGCCCACACATACAGTGACTGGCACAATGTTATTCACATTGAGGTATCCTTTATTTGCACACCTATGCATGCATGCAGCAGCAGCAGTAAACGCATGACAATCGCTTTACATTTTTTACCTTGCGATTTCTTTTACGCCTCCTCCATCGCATATGCTTACTCGCTGTTACTCGCAAAAAGGATATGCTCTGACAGTTGGCATTTGAATTTAAATTTAAGTACAATTTTTTTCTCACTGTTCGTCAAGTGCAGTTAGAATTTTACTGTAGTGTTATGCAATATATGCAGCCCCTTATTTTTTTGTTTGATTATGCGATAAATTTCGTATGTGTGCGTGTCTGCATATATACTTATACCGGCATGCTTACATACATATATGAATATATGCAGTTTTATTCGTAGATATGCGATTACTTTTAAATTATGCAGCCTGTCGCATCATTCCGATTGCACTCAAGTGTAACAAAAGGAGATGCTCGGTGCATACACACACACATATACACACATATGAATACATACGAGCTGCTTGTGATTTCTCTATTTTTGCTACATTTTATTACCACTACTTATTCTTTTGCTTCGTCGCTTACGCATCGCTGCTTCAAGACAATATCCATGTATGTTTGTAAATAGTATAAAATGTGTGTGTATGTGTATGAGAGAGTATGCGTAGATTGTTGGCAGCGCACCTTGAAAGCGATAGAGATACCTTTGGGTCTTATTGGGAAATTGTTCAGCTTTATATTATTCACAATACATATACAAATGCGTATGAATATATATATTATATATATGTAGAATTTTCTTCACATACATGTTTTTACATATCAATGTATGTATATAAAATAACTTATGCTTGAATAGAAGGCAGTATGCCA